TATATATAATAAAAATAAAAATAACACTTTTATTGAGGTAAAATAAATAAATATACCATACAATTTACCCATCTGGAGTGTAGTCTACAATTTAATGATTTTCAGTAAATTTACCAATATATGTAACCATCAGCACTGTCAATTTTAGAACATTTTAATTGCAAGTCAAATCATTTTTCTTTTCTTTTTTTGCAGTACTGGGGATCAATCCCAGGGTCTTCACACTGACATATGTCCCCAGTCACTTTGAAATGTGACACTGCGTCTTGTCAGTTTGCTAAATTACCCAAGCTGGGTTTGAACTTTAGATCCTCCTACCTCAGCCTCCCAGAGTGCTGGGATTACAGGTGTGCACCACCATGTCTGGTGGCAACAGTCAATTCATTTTTAAAGAACTTTTTATTATTAGCAGTCCACATTTGCAGTACATTAATGACTACATTCATCCTGGGGTGTTGATGCAGGCACATAACACATCCTAAGGCAACGGTCACTCATAATGGTTCATCTTCCTTTTGCTTGACCCACAGATAGCATTTAATAGGTCAGCTACTCCCTTCTCATTGAAACATTTTCTTCACTTTATGTTTTGGTTTGGGATGAAGTCAGGGCCTTCTGTAGGCTAGGCCTTCATTTGGGTTTTAGGACATCAGATTGGCTTCATTTTCTTCCTTCCTCACCTCTCAACGGTTTTACTTTTTCTTCCTCCTGACATCTTTCTGGAGATGGAGGGCCCCAGGGTCCAAACCCCCAGGCTTTTCTCCACCTTCCTGTTACTGGGTTTTACATACTGTCTATGTGTTTAATGAACTGCCAAGTTTACAGCCCTAACCCAGCTTTCACTATCTCCAAACCCACAGAGGAGTGTGATTAAGCTATACAGTGTCCCCAAAGTCTCGTGTGTTTGAAAGGTGACTGGATCATAGGCGTGCCACCCTTATCGGTGGATTTGTCCACTGCTGAATCCAGGAGCTAAATGTGCTATTAGGGTGATTGACCTGGGAGGGTGTGTTCTCGTCCTTGGTGTTTCTTCTGCTTCCTGGGGGTCAAGCACCTTTTCCCCACCTGCCCCTCTGCCATCCTGTTTCTGCCTTAGAGCCAGCCAACCATGGATTGAAACCATGAGCCAAAATAACCCTCTCCTGTTTAGATTAAAATTTATTATAATGAAAGACACATTAGCATTAATCCTTCTTGAAATACTCCCCCTCGCTGAGCACACATTTATCCCATCATTTCTGAAGCAGTTCTGGAAGTCTTCTATTGTGAGTGTCTTTATGAGGTTGTGATAAAAAAAATATAGTGAGTGCTTTTTCCGAGTGCCATGCAAAGAAAAGGCAGGCTTGTAAAAATGTGCACATTGATCTTATTCACCAAATCTAGCACCATGAGACTTCTGGCTCTTTCCCAAAGTCAAAATGACCACAAAAGGTTAAGTATTTTGAATCAATTCAGGATATTGAGGCAGCCATATCAGTGCAACTAAAAAATACTAATGAAAGAGGACTTTTAGAACTGCTTCAGAAAGTGACAAGGATGATGGGATAAGGCGGGCATGGTGTCACACGTCTGTAGACCCAGCACTAGGAGGCTGAGGCAGGAGGATTACTGTGAGTTCAAGGCCAGCCTAGGCTATACAGATGGAATAAGTATGTTCAAAGCAAGGGGGAATATTTTGAGGGGATTAATGGCAGTGTGTCTTTTACTTTAATAAAATTTTATTTTATTTAGTTTACTTAATTTTTTAAATTTTTTGAGACAAGTTCTCACTATGTAGTTCAAGCTGGCCTTGAACTCACTATGGTGAGTTTAGGTGGCCTTTAATTCGAGGCAATCCTCCCACCTCAGCCTCCCAAGTGCTGGGATTACAGGTATGCACCACAACACCTGGCTATAATACAATTTTAAGAATGTAAACAACAACCATATTTTTCTTTTCTTTTGGTTTTTTTTTGGGGGGGTTGATACAGGGTCTCACTATGTAGTTTTTTTTTTTTTTTTTCACTTTT